ATATACAGACTGATTTTACTGTTGTGGGTTTAGTAACACTTTAACTGGTTCCGTGCTGCCCTATAGCAGGAATACTGCGACAGGGCGGCACGGGTGCGCCAAATCACATATAAATACGTTTAGTTCTGGGTAGGGGGCGCATGCGTGCCCTACCCGCGCCGCCCTTTGCAGCCTCAGCTGTCAATCACTGGGTCCCGGCTAGTGATTCCTCGCCTGCACCCGGTGATCGCCGAGTATCTCCGACGGGGGAGAGACCTGTGTATAAAAAAAACACAGATGTCTCCCCTGTCAGATCCTGCACACTACATAGCAGAGCCATACAAAGCAGTGTGCTTACATAGCAAAGCACACACCCAGCCCAAGTAGTGAAACAGCACACAGTTAACCCTTTGATCGCCCCTCTTGTTAACCCCTTCCTGCCCAGTGCCATTAGTACAGTGTCAGTGCTTTTTATTAGTTAGTTCCCTCCCAGTGTCAGAATGTCTGCCGCAGTCCTGCTAAAAGTCGCTGGTCGCCACCATTATCAGTAGAAAAAAAAATCCCGAAATATATACCGCCATTTGTAAACGCTATAACTTTCACGTAAACCAATTAATTTACACGTATTGGGATTTTTTTTTAGCAAAGACATGGAGCAGAATACATGTTGGCCGAAATTTATGGAGAAATTAGATTTTTTTTACCGGACATGTTTAATAGCAAAAAGTCAAAAATATTTCTCAAAAATTGTTGGTCTTTTTTTGTTTATTGCGCAAAAAATAAAAAAACGCACAGGCAATCAATTACCACTGAAAGAAAGCTCAATTCGTGGGATAAAAAGGACGTAGATATCATTTGAGTGCAGCATTGCCTGACCGCACAATTGTCAGTTAACCCCCCTGGCGGTATTCCCGAGTGTATAGCTCGGGGTAAAGTTTCAGCACCACAAGCGGTAACCCCGAGCTACACTCAGGAATACCATGCGGCGTTGCTCCGGGATCCCTCGATCACTTACCTTGTCCTGTGCCCCCGCGATGTCCCCCCTGCAGTGTCCCCGGCAATGTCCTCTGGCCGATGCCGGCATCTGTCTTCCGGGTTCCTGATCCCTGCGACGTCGGACATACGGGGGACGGAACTGGCGGGAAATTTGAAAATGGCAAAAGTGACATTCACTAAATTCACTAAAATCACATAGTAATAACATTCCTGTATCAAACCATTTCACATACATTTTGTCCCGAGTGCTTTGTCCGCGCCCTGCCTGCAATTTTTACTGTTCTTTCTGCCTGGAAACTGAGAAATGTCCATGGCGTCCAAAAAGCATCCCTTTAGGTGAAAAGCGGTTTTAGACCGGCTAGAGAACAGCGATAGTAAATCAGAACCACTTGCAGAATTGAGTGATAATGATTCGTGGGGGAAATTCCTCATCAGACACTGAAAACGATTCTGAGACTTTGCTCAGCGATGTGCGAACTTTGGCGCTATATTTCACATTTCAGTGTTTTTGGTTTGATTATATTATTGAATTAAATTTATTATTATATTATTATTATTTATGATTATTTATTAAATTATAATTTATGATTTCGTGTTTCAAATTTTATCATACCCGGGATGTTTACTAGACTCTTGTCGGACAGATTTCAGTGAGTTATTCCTAAAAATTACAGCCTACAAATAAAAAAATAGATATTTCCATGTAAAAAAATGTACCCTTTGAGCACAGAAATATGGACATAATCAGACCGCTAGGGAGGTTAAAGTAAACAGCGCCGTATCGTAAAAATGGCCTGGTCAGGAAGGGGGGGAAACCCAGGAGGCAAGTGGTTAAAAGATCAATGATGTCAGCGGGAACTTACCTGAGAGGCAAAAACTGCTCATTGCTCAAGAAATCCTCTGGAGGGCAACTGGTTAAGGATAGACTGCAGACAACAAGCAAAATCATTCAGCAACCTGCCAATATCTATAAAAAACTCAGCCCTGGTTCACACTAAATGAGCTGTGGAGTTCGCACCGGTTTCTGTGCCATTTCCGCACCGGATCATGAAAAATGGGACCTTGCGGGGCACTGCAGGATTTCAATCCTTGTTGGCGTAGTGTGTTACCAATTGTTTTCTTGGTGACTGTGGTCCCAGCTGCCTGGAGATCATTGACAAGATCCTCACGTGTAGTTTCTGGGATGATTCTCACTGTTCTCATGATCATTGACACGCCTACGAGGTGAGATCTTGCATGGTGCACCAGACCTAGGGAGACTGACAGCTGTTTTGTGTTTCTTCTATTTGCGAATGATTGCACCAACTGTTGTCACCTTCTAAGTGTAAAAGTGTAGCGCTAAAAATATTCTCTAGTAAGATAAAAAAATAATAAAATTATGTATAAAATTGGTGACAGTTTGTGATAAGGTGCTTGATTACAGGAGTTGATGGTGACTTCACATTCCAGTGGTGTCGGTAAAATAGTAAAAATACGCACTCACCAGATATGTATCTTTAAATACGCATGTAATCAGTAAGACCAGAGGTCCCCCTCTCGAAATGGGATGGATGATGTCACAATCATGCCCACAGGGAGAGGTGCGGTTCTCCATTTTACCCCAAACTTCTACATTTTGGTCTTGCTCTTAAACTCATATGCCATCACCTGAGGGGGGGGGAGGTGTAGTATCGTGCATACAAGAGCCAGGCACAGGCTCTCACTGTATTAAGAAGTCTTCTGTATCCCCTAATTCCACCCCCTCCCTCAGGAATGCGTTCAGTGTAGCTGTTTAAAACCATCCTCTTGTCAAATAAGGTAGTGAAGATACCAGTTGATTTTGTGTAGAAAAAGAAGCTGTTATGTTTTGGGTGTAGTCAGAGAAGTGGGGATTTTCTGTGTGCAACAGCTCACAGAGAAAGAGAAAAGAAGATCTGCCTGCCTTAATATCGAAACTACCAGTGGGAGATCAACGCATCCTTTTGGTCATGAGACTTGAAGCTGCTTAAAACCAAGGCTGACTGGCAAGTAATTTAACCTTTAAACTCCTTTCTGTTATCTATTTGCTGGGCTGTTATGCACTGAATAATATATATATATACAGTATATATTATATATATTGGTTACATCTTTCTGTAAATATTTCTTCTGCACCCCTTTAACCTTTATAATAATAAATCTTCCTTCTGAAAGTGTTGAACTGTTTCTATAGCTCTTGAATGTAACTTATGAGTCCCTGCCGCTGGAAGAACGCTACTATGAGTATTTAACCCTCTGTATAAACCGGTCTGTAGAGATAGCGGGATATGACGGTTAACCAATTCATCCTAGTGTATTGCTGAGTTTCTTTTCTGCTTTCTCTGTTTTCAAAAAGGAGGTGGTGGCAGTGTGAAGGGTTAAGTGCGTAATAACCTGACCCCCAGTAACTAGCTCATTCAGGCTGCCGTACATCGATTGTGGTCCAATTAGCTGGAAAATCGTTGTGCAGGGTGCAGCTGGGTGTGGCATTGTTACGCATATGACAGCGCGGTTTTAGATTGCAGTCCTTCGGTCCCGAGTTTGGTGAGAAGGGCTAGGGTCTGACGCCGCACCCGTCACAGATGAGATTGGGCCGTCTTAACGGAAACTGCGCCTTCTGGATGGTAGGCAGCTACAGAGACGTCTCCCTAGGTGTGTGCGGATAGGAATCCAGGCAGAGGCCTCCTTAATGGATGGGCAAAGACGCTTGTCAGCTAACACTGGAACAGCTCCCTCCTCTGGGTTGGCACACAAGTGATTCGGCTCCTGTATCGTCAAATGCTGGGCTCTGGAAAGTGAACGTTAGCTCACCAGGGAGCCAACCAAAAAATGGCCCATAGTGTAGTATATTTAAAAATTCAATTTATTAATCCACGTGGTAAGGGTTAAAAACAGTAAACAGTAAAAGTGTACAAAAATTGGTATACTGACCATTTAATTTAAAAAAGATGGCCGCCAGACCTATGATAGGTACCAGCGGCAAGACGTCACGGCGTAATGGCCCCTTTGACGTGTTTCGTGCTAAAGCACTTCCTCACCAAGCTGCTTGCCAATAATTTGGTAGCCCAGTCCAGCTTTGTGTAGGTCTTGTCCCTGACATTCTTGGACAGCTCTTTGGTCTTTGCCATGGTGGAGAGTTTGGAATCTGATTGTTTGATTGCTCCTGTGGACAGGTGTCTTTTATACAGGTAACAAAATGAGATTAGCAGTACTACCGAATATAGTGAATGCAGGGTCCGGGGAGACCGGATATAGTGAATGCAGGGTCCGGGGAGACCAGATATAGTAAATGCAGGGTCCGGGGAGACTAGATATAGTGAATGCAGGGTCCGGGGAGACCGGATATAGTGAATGAAGGGTCCGGGGAGACCAGATATAGTGAATGCGGGGTCCGGGGAGACCGGATATAGTGAATGCGGGGTCCGGGGAGACCAGATATAGTGAATGCGGGGTCCGGGGAGACCGGATATAATGAATGCAAGGTCCTGGGAGAGCGGATATAGTGAATGCAGGGTCTGGGGAAACCGAATATAGTTGAATGCAGGGTCCGGGGAGACCAGATATAATGAATGCAGGGTCCTGGGAGAGCAGATATAGTGAATTTAGGGACCGGGGAGAGCGGATATAGTGAATGCAGGGTCCTGGGGGACCGGATATAGTGAATTCAGGGTCCTGGGAGAGTGGATATAGTGAATTCAGGGTCCTGGGAGAACGGATATAGTGAATGCATGGTCTGGGGAGAGCAGATATAGTGAATGCAGGGACCGGGGGAGAGCGGATATAGTGAATGCAGAGACCAGGGAGAGCGGATATAGTGAATGCAGGGTCCGGGGAGACCAGATATAGTGATTGCAGGGTCTTGGGAGAGCGTATATATAGAGAATGAAGGATCCGTGGAGACCAGTTATAGTGAATGCATGGTCCGGGGAGACCAGATTTAGTGAATGCAGGGTCCTGGGAGACCAGATATAGTGAATGCAGGTTCCGGGGAGAGCGGATATAGTGAATGCAGGGGGGTTCTCGGAGACCGGATATAGTGAATGCAGGGTCCGAGGAGACCGGATATAGTGAATGCAGGGTCCGGGGGGAGCGGATATAGTGAATGCAGGGTCCGGGGAGACCGGATATAGTGAATGCAGGGTCCGAGGAGACCAGATATAGTGAATGCAGGGTTGGGGGGAGCAGATATAGTGAATGTATGAATGCAGGGTCAGGGGGGAGCGGATATAGTGCATGCAGGGTCCTGGGAGAGCATATATAGAGAATGTAGGGTCCGTGGAGACCAGTTATAGTGAATGCAGGGTCCGGGGAGACCAGATTTAAAACGAATGCAGGGTCCTGGGAGACCAGATATAGTGAATACAGGGTCCAGGGAGAGCGGATATAGTGAATGCAGGGTTCGGGGAGACTGGATATAGTGAATGCGGGGTCCAGGGAGAGCAGATATAGTGAATGCAGGGTCCGGGGAGACCAGATATAGTGAATGCGGGGTCCGAGGAGACTGGATATAGTGAATGCAGGGTCACAGGAGACCGGATATAGTGAATGCAGGGTCTGGGGAGACCGGATATAGTGAATGCAGGGTCCGGGGGGAGCAGATATAGTGAATGTATGAATGCAGGGTCAGGGGGGAGCGGATATAGTGAATGCAGGGTCCGGGGTTTAGGAACACTTTAACAGCACTTCCAGGCTGGGTCAGTCTCCAGCCAGTGAAAGATCCTGCTACTATCTGCTCTCACACATAAAGTGGGGCAAAAAGTATTTAGTCAGCCACCAATTGTACAAGTTCTCCCACTTAAAAAGATGAGAGAGGCCTGTAATTGGCATCATAGGTAGACCTCAACTATGAGAGACAAAATGAGAAAAAAAAATCCAAACAATCACATTGACTATTTGGAAAGAATTTATTTGCAAATTATGGTGGAAAATAAGTATTTGGTGAATATGAAAAGTTCATCTCAATACTTTGTTATATATCCTTTGTTGGCAATGACAGAGGTCAAACGTTTCCTGTAAGTCTTCACAAGGTTGGCACACACTGTTGCTGGTATGTTGGCCCATCCTCCATGCAGATCTCCTCTAGAGCAGTGATGTTTTGGGGGTGTTGCTGGGCAACACGGACTTTCAACTCCCTCCAAAGGTTTTCTATGGGGTTGAGATCTGGAGACTGGCTAGGCCACTCCAGGACCTTGAAATGCTTCTTACGAAGCCACTCCTTCGTTGTTTGGGATCATTGTCATGTTGGAAGACCCAGCCACGTTTCATCTTCAGTGCCCTTGCTGATGGAAGGAGGTTTGCACTCAAAATCTCACGATACATGGCCCCATTCATTCTGTCCTGTACATGGATCAGTCGTCCTGGTCCCTTTGTGGAGAAACAACCCCAAAGCATTATGTTGCCACCCCCATGCTTCACAGTAGGTATGATGTTCTTTGGATGCAACTCAGTATTCTCTCTCCTCCAAACACGACGAGTTGTGTTTCTACCAAACAGTTCTATTTTGGTTTCATCTGACCATATGACATTCTCCCAATCCTCTTCTGGATCATCCAAATGCTCTCTAGCAAACTTCAGACGGGCCCGGACATGTACTGGCTTAAGCAGGGGGACACGTCTGGCACTGCAGGATCTGAGTCCCTGGCGGTGTAGTGTGTTACTGATGGTAGCCTTTGTTACGTTGGTCCCAGCTCTCTGCAGGTCATTCAGTAGGTCCCCCCGTGTGGTCCTGGGATTTTTGCTCACCGTTCTTGTGATCATTATGACCCCACGGGGTGAGATCTTGCGTGGAACCCCAGATCGAGGGAGATTATCAGTGGTCTTCTATGTCTTCCATTTTCTAATTATTGCTCCCACAGTTGATTTGTTCACACCAAGCTGCTTGCCTATTGCAGATTCAGTCTTCCCAGCCTGGTGCAGGTCTACAATTTTGTTTCTGGTGTCCTTCGACAGCTCTTCGGTCTTCACCATAGTGGAGTTTGGAGTGTGACTGTTTGAGGTTGTGGACAGGTGTCTTTTATACTGATAACAAGTTCAAACAGGTGCCATTGATACAGGTAATGAGTGCAGGACAGAGGAGCCTCTTAAAGAAGAAGGTACAGGTCTGTGAGAGCCAGAAATCTTGCTTGTTTGTAGGTGACCAAATACTTATTTTCCACCATAATTTGCAAATAAATTCTTTCCAAATCAGCCAATGTGATTGTCTGGATTTTTTTTCTCATTTTGTCTCTCATAGTTGAGGTCTACCTATGATGCCAATTACAGGCCTCTCTCATCTTTTTAAGTGGGAGAACTTGTACAATTGGTGGCTGACTAAATACTTTTTTGCCCCACTGTGTATACCACTTTCAGCCCCCTGCTGGCCATTTTCTTCCCGACCAGGGATTGGCTGAAGATTATGTACAGACAGGGGGAGACAGGCCAGTCTGCAGCTGCACAACTCAGAGTAGGCAAACCTTTTACTTTCCTTTCAGAATGAACACTTTCTATGGGACACTATACCACAAAATACTCCCACAAATGCCAGCCATTTATTGCAAACAAGATTTGTTCATTTGCACACACAAAAAATTATTTTTCCTAACAAATTCATTCAAGACCATGTTGCAAAAATAAATACACCCCAATGAAAGTCTTAGGAGCAAAGCTAAATTTTAGACAACAAAATCCTAATTAACAAGAATTGAGCTACAGGTGAGTCTAATTATTCATTAAATAGGTGTCCAGCAGACAGTTGATTATAAAAGGGCATTACTGAACAAAGAAAACCGCTCCCATTTCATTATGTCAGCAATGGCACCACATGGAAGAGAAACGTCACAAGGACTGAGAAAGAAAATTTCTTTACACAAGAAAGGTGAAGGCTAGAAGAAGATCAGCAAAGCTTTACTTATCAGTCAGAATACTGTAGCAAGAGTGGTACAAAAACTTAACAAAGATGGAACTGCAACCATCTCGCAGAGACGTCCAGGTTGTCCACGGAAGTTAACACCTCAATAGGAGCGTGATGAGAAGGGTTGAAGAAAATCACCATGCAAGTTCATTGCAGTTAGCTAAAGAAGTAGAAAGCCAAACTGGGGTGATTGTTTCCCGTGCCACAATACGACGTACACTGCAGAGGAATGGCATGCATGGGTGTCGTTCACGAAGGAAGTATCTCCTAAAGCCTATGCACAAAAAGCCCACCTAGAATTTGCCAGGGCCCATGCTGAAAAAGAAGAAGACTACAGGGACTCTGTACTCTGGAGTGATGAGACCAAGATAAATGTTTTTGGAACTGATGGCTTCAAAACTGTATGGTGTCGCAAAGGTGAGGAGTACAAAGAAAAATGCATGGTGCCTACCGTGAAACATGGTGGTGGCGGTGTCCTTCTGTGGGGCTGCTTAAGTGCTGCTGGTGTTGGGTAGTGCATTTCATTGATGATATCATGAATTCACAGATGTACTGCTCTATATTGAAAGAGAAGATGCTCCCATCACTCTTGGTCGTCATGCACTTTTCCAGCAGGACAATGATCCAAAACACCCACCTAAGGACACTGTTGCATTTCTGATCTCTCCTGGTCTGAACCCAATCCAACACCTATGGGGAATTCTGAAGAGACAAGCTGAGCATCACTCTCCATCCAGCATCCAGGCTCTGAAAGAGGTCGTTCTTATAGAATGAAAGAGATCAATTTTGCAATATGTCGCCAACTTGCTCATTCCATGCCTAGAAGACTTGTCCTGTCCTTACAAATCATGGAGGTCATACAAAATACTAGATGGACTGGTTTTTGTTGTGGGGTGGATTCATTTTTGCATCAACTAATTTGAGTAAAACTGAAGATTTTGTGATCCAAGTTATATTATTAACCTTACTTTCATGTAATGAGAGAAACAAATGTTCTATAAACTCAGTTTTCTCAACATTTTGGAAACTGTTCTTGAGTTCATTGAAATATTGATTAAAATCTAACTTTTCAAAAGGGGTGTACTCATTTACACTGAGCACTGTATATCTCCACTTCTAATAGCAGAGCCAAGAAACTAATTTGCCTAAACTAGGAGGGCGCTACATTGGTATTTACTAAACACTGGGCTTTTTATTTTTTACTTGACCAAAAATTTTGAAAAACACAAGAACCCCCGAAATTACCGTTCTTTTTTTTTAAGTGGACACCCCAAGATGATTTTATTTTATGCCGCAATTTTTGGAAATGAGGAAATATGCTGGCACTGAGGGGGTTAAACATGGAACTGAAGAATGGTGCACTAGATACATTAACATACAGGGCATACATAGTGGAAGGATGGAGGTGAAAGGTTTAATGTTCAGATATGCGAGATAATGGAGGTGAAAGGGTTAATATACAGGTCACATATAGATAGCATTGGAGCCAGGATGTGTAGGAGAGGAGGGGCATGAAAGAGATCGCCATGTCACTGAAACAAAATGAATGGATCTGCAGTTGTCCCCATTCACAAATACTCAAACTCTCTTCTTCCCTGTTGTAAGGGGAAGAGGGGATCAGCACTGTAAACAATACCATGTGATTGCTGTGATGACCAATCACAACGATCACATGTACTCAGCAGGGTGGACTGACAACTCATGGGGCTCCCGGGCAATAGGGGATCATGGGGCCTCTGTGTCCTTGCCCAAACTCACAAAAGCCTATGAAAAAGGTACCAGGGGCATCTCATGGGGCCCCCTACTGACCCCGGGCCCGCAGGCAGTGCCCGAGTTTCCAAATGGTCAGTCCGCCCCTGGTACTCAGCCCCTCGGGTTGGCTGGATACAGTATCTGCTAGGAGCACAGTGATCACCAGACAGATCGGCCAGCCAACAGCTATTTATCCAGTGGCGTTCGTATTCAGCTCCGGGTAAAGGGCTGCTGATCTGCCATTGAAGAACACACAGCACTAGATAAGGGGTTAAAGTGTAGAAAAAGGCAAACACTTTTTTTCGTTTTTTGATAGGGTAGGGAATGGTTTAAACAGGTCATAGAACTGCAGAATTTCCTTCGACCATTCACTGGAACCACGGAAAATTTGTTTGTCCTAGTTTTTAATAATGCCATCTGCCAACATTTCAAACGACAGCTCATTCAAATCACATGCTATGTTTCCATTTTAGAAGTTCAATGTTGTCATGCACATTGCAAGAAGTAGGATTTCTACCCTCCAGAAATGACACTGACCCATAGATCTGTATGGTTTTACACAGAGCAGCCCCGATCCTTCTTTTGGGTCCCCCACTGGTGGTCCTGGCTCCTCCTCCTTGCCGAGTGCCCCCAATTACAAGCCTCTTGCCATGGGGGCACCTGATGCAGGCTTGTCCATTCACACACAGAGCACAGCTTGGCTCTGCCCCCCCCCCCCCCCCCACTTTCTCCTCATTCCCTCACTGGTTGTGATTGACCGCATGGCAAGTCCGCAATTAAAGAGGTCACATCAGTGCGATTCCGACTTGGTCAGAGTCGCACTGATTTTTCCGGTAGTGCATGCACTACTTCAGGTGCGAATGGCATAGACATCTGTGTCTTGCAAGTCGTACCTTGAGTTGAAATGACATCCGACTTTGAAATCGTGCGACTTCTCTGGAAGCCGTGTAATT